CGACACAATTTATCTCTGAAGTTCTTTTTTGATAGTGAATTTATCTTTCAGATCTTAGATTGATAAATTTTCAATGCAAATTATAAATGAGTATATCAATCGACAATGAAATCTTGAAGAATATTTTATTTAAAAAAATTACAGAATAATCCTTAATTCCTCATCAAAAAAACATGGCTAAAGAGTCAAATAGGCCCCTGAACTGACTTAAAGTGTTCAATTAGCCCCTTATATAGGAGGTTCTGCCCGGTCATCGCCGATTGGGGCGGTTCCCGGTGGAAATTTTTGATGAAAGTTTTTGAGTATCTTCTTCATTAAGTCTAGTTTACTCATACCAAATTTCAGCTTAAAATTCAACCGGAAAGGCAATCAAATGATTTTCCGAAATGTATTGCGCTGTTTGTATTGAAATTTGATATGAGTAAACTAGACTTAATGAAGAAGATGCTAAAAAAATTTCATCAAAAAATTCCACCAAAAAAATTTACTTCACCGGTTATTAAACGGTGCTTATTAAGACCCGTGTTAATAAGCGGCGCATAAAATAAACAATGTTGTAAGACCGTGTTTACTTCAAACGGTTTAAAACACCGCTTAACATTAAAATGTCCAAAATAACCCTATAACATATATATACACACAAACATTCATGAACACAAGTATATAATATAATATGTGTACCCATGCCCCTAACCCCTTACCCACCCTACCTTACCCCGACCCCACCCACCGCCTACCCCTACCCCTACCCTACCTACCTGACCCCACCCTACCTACCCGACCCCACCCTACCTACCCGACCCTACCCCTACCCCACCCTAACCTGTCCCCACCCTACCACAACCCTACCCCCGACCCCATAGGCCCCTACCCCCATAGGCCCTTACCACATCGACCCCACCCCGACCCCACCTTACCCCAACCCCGCCCCTACCCCTACCATACCCAACCCGGTAGTGGTAGGGTGGGTTCGGGTAGGTAGGGTGGGGGTTGAGGCGGGGTAGGGTAGGGGTAGGGTCGGGTATGTGGGTAAGGGGTGGGGTAGGTAGGGTAAGGGTAGGTGTGTGGTCGGGTAAGTAGGGTAGGGGTGGGATTGGGTAGGTAGGGTAGTGGTAGGGTGGGGTCGGGTAGGGGTAGGGCGGGGTAGGGTTGGGTTGGGTCAGGGTAGGGGTAGGGGTAAGGTGGGGTCGGGTAGGGGTAGGGTAGGTGGGGTAAGGGTAGGGGTGGGGTCGGGGTAAGGGTAGTGTAGGTGGGGTAAGGGTAGGGTGGGGGTCAGTTAGGTAGGGTAGGGGGTGTCTGATAATGGGGTAGGGTAGGGGTAAGGTGGGGGGTACGTGTAGGGTGGGGTCGGACAGGTAAGGTAGGGGTAGGGTGGGGTCGGGGTAGTGGTAGGGGGGGGTCGGTTAGGTAGGGGTAGGGGTGGGGTCGGGGTGGGGTAGGATAGGTGGGGTCGGGGTGGGGTGGGGTAGGTGGGGCGGGGTCGGGGGTAGGGTCAGGGTAGGTGGGGTAAGGGTAGGGTGGGGGTCGGGGTGGGGGTAGGGTCAGGGTAGGTGGGGTGAGGGTAGGGTGGGGTCGGGGTGGGGTGGAGTTGGGGTCGAGGTGGGGCAGGGATAACAATAGATTAAGGGCAAGGGGTAAATTCGGAAACTGAAAAAGCTTAAAGTGCCGCTTAATTAATACATGGGGTATGCTTAATAAGCGGCACTTTAAGCACCTCTTTCGGTTAGTAAGCGGCTTTTTAATCAGTGTGCGTGTTTACTTCACCTGTCTTACTAACCTAACTGTGACTTTAGCAAAAAAAAAAATCACTCGAACAATTTAACAAACCAAGCGTAGTTGTGTACAGTACGTCCTCCTCAATTCTTTGCTGCTTAGTTTCTAGGGTTTTACTCTTTCATCTCAAATCGTTCTTCCTCCTACATTAATTAACTATCTACATACTCAATTTCGACACCTCGGTGAATTCTTGCTGTTCTTCCAGGCATAATGGCTACTACCAATTCTTCTTCTGCCTTGGAAAAAGAACAGGTGAAGTTATATTTTGGATCTGCATTATTCTACATGCAGCTGTGTCTGGATTTCAGCTGTTTCTTTAGCATCCATTCAATTATTTGATTACTTTGGTGTAGAATTAATACATGGTTTTGTTTTCGTGTTCTTGATGAGTGCAGATATTTTCGATGGCAGAGAAAGAGATGGAATACAGGGTGGAGTTGTTTAACAAGTAGGTATTCTGCTGCATTTTTGTAGGATTTGAAAATCTCTAAAAGGCCACTTATAATGGCTGACTTCCGATTAGTTTCATCTACTAGGAGTAGACTTTTGCCATTAAATAAACATCAATGGACATTTACAGTTTTTACATTTCGATTTTTCTTCTGAATATATGACTGATATAGACTGATACATTTATGTGTGGCTAATGGTTATGCTCTTAGAATACTACCTAAAGCAATAGACAGTTGTCATGTTGGGATGGGGGCCTTGAACTCTCGAATAACGTCCATCTTCCCCTTAAAGAGAGCCCTTTTTGTTCAATTTACGACTTTTATCGTTGTTAAATTACAAGTATCATGAATAACGAATACTATCTATATTCATAGAATTTCTTTTTTAGCTATAGTTGTCACATGACTCACATATAACCTGTTTTTGAGAATTGTGACTCTTTTTTTGGAAATTTGCTGGCTATTTACATAAAAAGCTATCTTCGTTGAATCAGAGTGAACTCTTTTTTGGACAAAAACATGTTTGAAAGAGGGCTCTTTTTTTGGGGCACAGGGAGTATTTTCTTTTTCTTTTGATACTGGGAAAATTCTACTGCAGCTTGAAGTTTTCCTAATCCTTTTATTCATAATAATTATCCTTCAGGCTGACCCATACATGTTTTAGAAAGTGCATTGAGAACAAGTATGTATCCTTTAACTCATTTTGCCAACACTCTTATCAGCTTGGAACACTACTAGCTTGAGAAACTGTTCATGAATTTTCCATCTCAGGTATAAGGAATCAGAGTTGAACATGGGTGAAAATAGTTGTATTGATCGATGTGTTTCCAAATACTGGCAGGTCTGTTGATTACTTTGTATTTAACCCATTTAAATCCCTTTTGCTTGTAATTGTATGATTTTGCATGTTGTTAATTCTTAAATTAAATTCTTTTCACTGCTTCAGTCATTTTAGAATTATACATTTTTTTAGCGTTGCATAGGAGTCATGATAAAATATCAATTAAATGTAGTTCTGGTAATCTCCTTTAGTTTGGGTTCTAGATAATGTGCCCACTGACTTGGATATTTTTCAAATTATGATCTTGAATTTGTTTTTATTTTGTTCTAGTTATTTTTTGTGACTTATTGAATGAGTTGAAAGCGTTAACAATTACTACAATCTACTTGTAATTGATGCAGTAGTATTTCTTTGTTGCCACAATCTACTTGTAATCACATATTCATATCATGCCGTGTTTTTATTTTTTCAAATTCCCTTGGCATTGAAAATGTAATCGAAGTAGTTGCCCAGCCATTACGCCTCAATTCAATATGCTTACTTTAGGCTATAAGAGAGCCTAAAATATGCTGAGGAATACATTATCTCTTCTAGTCCAGATCCACTTCGACATGGTTTAGCTACTGCATTGACACTTGAATTTGTTTTTATGTTATTGTGATTTTGTGACATATGTAATGAGTCTAAAGTGTAAACACTTTTTACCCTTTGTTGCTTCAATCTAATTGTAATCGTACATAATAATGTTTTTTTTCTCAAATTCCTTAAACAGTGAAAAGCTTTCAGCAATGTCTAATTGTCTACTATAGCCTGGAGAACAACCTAAAAATTTGCCTACAACATTATCTCTCCTAGTCGAGAGCTGGCGTTTTAGCTGCTGAACTGCCATTAAAGGATTCTAAAAATTTGATGGTGTTTTAAAAATGTACTTCATGCAATTTTAGTGCTTATCTCATCACTGCCAATGACATAATATAACATGGCTTATAATCTATACTAAACCTTTTTTTGCAGGTGAATAATCTGGTTGGAGCGCTTCTTGGTACTAGTCGTCCTATGTAAGAGTTATTTCTTGAACATGTTTTTGAGCCTTGTTCATTAAAAAGACAATAAATACAATTGTCTCCCCCAATGTGTTTTGGCGCATGGTAACAACACTTTGTATCATCTTTAAAAAAAATTGGCATTAATTTTTCTCTTTTGCATCGATGCCTAGTCACATCAGATTCACAAATGTATTGGATGCAAAAAAAGTTCTCTTGACTAATCCTTGAGGTGATTAGATTTTTGGGGCAGTTTTTACTATATTGTTGCATAGCCCGTTTTATCTCCATTTTCTCATCATCATTACCCCTGTGCCGCAAAGGCTCCCACTTAGAGTGGGGTAAGGTGGCTCGGATGTACGCAGCCTTACCCCTGTACTAAAGCACAGAGAGGCTGTTTCCGGATGTTCTAAAAGGTGAAATCACATTTTGATCTCTGGCAGCTCAAGTTCAATTGCAAATAGTTAAAAACTATTGATACTGAAAAAGATTAATCTTATAAGTTATAACTACTCTCGTATTGCATTATTGATATAAGACACTATATCAAAAATCAAAAGAATTTTAAAAACTAAGGCTGTTCACTAGTTCAGTAACAAGGGAGAGAGATTAACAAAGGATAGCAGCCTCGGAAGGTAATGTAATCACAATTAGAACGTAGTAATATCATTTACAAGCATATGATCAAGAATTGAGCACAATAGTAAGAGGAGAGGAAACTCTTTGATAACATACATCGGCCAGAAAATATCTTCACAGCTATAACATTGCCACTTTGGTCTAGGACTCTAGGCCCCATTTTGAGATGTTAATCAAGCAGTGTTGAAAACAAAAACTAATTACTTAAGTTAAAATGTGTGAAATAACAATAAATCAAGATGAGTTCAGTACAAAAGGAGTAGGATCTAAGGTTTTTTTTATATATTGAGAACCAGATCTATGTACATGCCTACTCTTGTCAAATTATTCCATAAATGGCACTATATAGGGACACAAGAAACCAGATGAACATCTACACAATTTTTGTTAATTATTGAAAACAGTGAACAAAAGGAAGTAGATGATAGGAAACAATACTATACGCACAATGTAGCTACATAGGCATGGATTGCTTGTCAAGAAGTGTTTGCTATTTTCAACTTGTCCTATGATATTCTTTCCAAGTTGAAAAAGAGATTTATGGGAATAAATACAAGAGATCTTTAAGAATAAACATCAAGAAAATGAAAGTATGTAATGCTTCTAATTTTTGCTCCTTTTAGTTTCCAAATTGGTGGCTCTTTTAAGTGCATCTTGGGCTTCATTTTCCATCCCCAGACTGAAAAGAGCAGTTGCTTGTAGGTAGAAAGGAGTTGGCCATTCCGGCGAAACTTCTTGAGCTTGCAGCGCGTCTCCGATAGCTTTTTGTGCGTTGTCGCTCATCAAATAAGATATGCATCGTCTCACATAAATTGTTGGTGACACAATGCTACCACCATCAATAAACTGCATAAGAAAACCAACACAATGCTTAACCCAAGAGTCTTAAGCAAAGAAATACCAACTCTTATAATGATCCCACACGGGAAAGTAGAGTGAAAGTTTTCTCGAAAGAATGAGTGGGGTTATGGAGTTACCTGTGTGTAACAATCAATGGCTTTTTCAAAATCCTTGGCTCGAAAAGCTGAGTCGCCTTGCTTCTTAAAATTTAGGCATTCTTGCATTTGATCTGTCCATACTTGGAAAGATAGCTGCAATAGCTTATGGTTAGACAATGTTAAAGGACTAAGTGAAAATTAGAGATACATAATTCATTGCTTCAAGTGGATTCACTTATGTGATAGATCCAGGAATTTAGGTTTGGCTGAGCTAAAAAGTACTAGTAATTGTACTAGGCTTAAACATTAGTGGGGTGACTAGATATGAAAAATAAAAAATTTACACCTAAAAATTTGAAAAGAAAAATTATGTTACCCTAGGCTTCAACCTACCTAGTCCTAACATAGATCCTCCCTTAAATAATGGATTTCCCCCATTCAAGACTTGAGACAAAGATTTCAATGAAAAATGTCTTTTATAACTTTGTTATCTTTCTGTTTTTGTTGCCTAAAAAACTCTCACTTTGTTTTTTAATAAATAAATTTGTGATGCACATTATTTTTCTCTCATTTACAAAAATCTCAATTATACAACTTTTATTTATTGCGAATCAGTCAAACTTAAAATTATCAAGGATGAATAAAGTATTATGTACCACTCCATGCGGAGTATTATACTCCCTTGGGTTTTTAATTAAGTTTCTAGTTTGATTTCACACATATTAAAAAAATTACTTAGGGGTAAATTTTATTGTAGAATGCACTGTTGTGACCAATGTTCTAAAAGGCGCTAGGCGCTAGTCGGGCGCCAGCCCAGCGCCTAGCGCCTAGGCGGCTAGGCGGGCGCCTAGTCGGGGATTAGTCGGAGACCTAGAAATTGCATTTTTATCTATATTTTTGCATAAATATGCTAATTAATATTGTATTTTTGTGTGTATAAAATACATATATACATATACATTAACAAACATGAAAGATAAAATTATCACATTTAATCATACGTAGTATATGATAAACAATCACTTAACTTCATCATGTTATAAATATAAACAATGATAAAATTTAGGTATATATAGAAACATGTATAGTTTTATCTTAATTTACAACATCATTTCTTTATATTCATGGCTAAAGTTATAGTACATATATTGCTTGGAAAATTAAAATTAAAAAGTAAAGTAATGTTCGACGAATCTAGACGGCCGATAAGGCGCTCTAGGCGGGCAATTAGGCGCCATAGGCGGCCGACTAATTCACCAAGACGGCAAACCAATTAGTCGGAGTGCCTAGACGAAAATCGGGGTGCCCGGCCACCGCTTAGCGCCTAGGCGGGAACTAGTCGGGCGCCTAGAACGATTTTTAGAACAGAGGTTGTGACATTGTTTTGTCACTATTTTGATGTAAATTTGTTTGCTAAATAAAGAAGTACTCCCTCCGTCCCTAATAACTTTGTCAAGTTTGACCGGCACGGGGATTAATAAAGTAAAAACTGTGTGGTTGAGGTTTGTGCAGAGGAGAGAGAATTAACTGGAACCACAAATTCTTTACTTAAATGGGAAAGTGGCAAAGTTAATGGGACATCCAAAAAAGGAAAGTTGGCAAAGTTATAAGGGACGGAGGGAGTATGAATTTGTTTGGAGCATCCAAAAAAGGGAAAGTAGGAAGTTAAACAAGAGAGTAATTGGGAAATGGGGCTACTTGGTGCAACAGGAAGCGAAGGAAAGTTTTCAAGGAGACAGGTTTTGAGCCTGGTCAAAGAGAAAAGTCAAAGTGTGAGAGACATAATCATCACTGGATCATATCACCTAGACAAGTATAGGCCTGCCATACCAATATACCATTATTTTCCAGCAATTTTTGGGACAACTTTTCTTAAATTATGGAATATGTCCTTTTTCCCCAAATCCTGCCACCTTCTAAGCTGTGGCACGCAAGCTTTCCTAGGTTAGGCATGTAACAAAGAGGAAAAGTATTTTCCCATAAGCCTTTGTAAAATTTTCTGATTTAAACATTTCAAAATAGTTTGCCAATTCCAGTAAGAAACAAGTGATTTAAGTCATGAGATGGAGGGAGTAGTAAATAGTGCTGATTTTTAATGCCTAACTTTTTACTACATTTACCTGTTGAATTAAGGTACAAACATTTACTTGTTCCTCCTTCCGTCCCATTTTACTTGTCTTACTTTCCTTTTTGGGTTGTCCCAAAATAAGTGTTAGATTTCCCTTTTTGAAAAGAAATATGTGGCTCACAACTAGGGGTGGATTCGGGTCGGGCCACCCGGCCCGTGGACCGGCTCAGCCCGTTACTGTGCGGGACCAGCCCGGTTCTCGGGTCCGGGTCCGGGTCAGGCCTAGACCCGGGGGGTCCAGGCTCGGGTCTTACATTTGGCGAACCGGCCCGGCTGAGTCGAGCCTGGGCCCGGGCCTAATTGATTTTTTTTTATTTTTTTCATTTTTTGGGGTTCCACCTGGGTTGGGCTTGATGGTTAGGAGGGGTTTGGGGGGTGGGGTTAGGAAAGCAAAGCAAAAAAAAAAAAAAAAAAAAAAACGGAGGCCTGGCCCGGACCCGGTGGCTACCCGGTCCGGTCCCGGGTCCACCATTTCTGAACCGCCGGCCCGCCCGGGCCTAGGCCCGGCCCGAGTCCAGGCCTGCTCACAACATTTCACTTTACTATACTCAAATCTCAACCACAACTCTTACTTTTTCAACCACTTTATTAAAAATTGTGCCAAAACCAAAGGAGACACAAAATGGGACGGAGGTAGTATTAATTTTTTACTCCGTAATATTTACATCCAATGTTGTTTAAGTAATTGACCGTGGCCTAATTTGAGATTGAGGCTATGGTTAGAAAAACTTTTTGTGGGAAGAGAAGTTTAAAAAGAGCTTTTGAAGTCGTGATGAGAGACTACTTTTGAATTACTTTATGTTTTTTCCAGTTGAAATAAAGATATTTTCAAATAGTACTAAGATTGTGTTTTTTCTAGAATAAGAGGTACTACGGGATCTCAACCATTATTGATAGTCTCATTTCCCTTTTTGGAAAGAAATATGTGGTCCACATTATTTCACCTTTTCTACTCAAATCTCAACCACAACTTTTACCTTTTCAATTACTTCCTTAATCTTTGAGCCCAAAAGAAATGGGATCATCAAATTGGGACAGAGGGAGTATATATCACGGAGTATTACGTACTACGTATTAATCTAGAGAGAAGAGAAAGATAGATAGAGAAAGTGATAGTATAAAAGACTTTTTACCCTATACAAGACTCCTAAAAGAGTATTTAGAGGGAAAATATTGGCTGACAGGTAGACCCAATTACACAAAATGGGTGATAAATGATATAAAATCTATTCTAAAAAGTACTCCATATATATGAATAAATTGAAGTGTGCAATAATGTAAATGCTATCTAATGAACATATATGGGCCGTTGTCCAGCCTCAATATTCATGCATCAGGGGTTTGAGTTTGTGTACTCTATCAAAGACTTATTTACATCTAGTCCCACATGTGGTTTGTGTCTACTATTTGTAGCATTTGTTTTTAAAAACCATTGCAAAATTTAATGAATCTAGAAAATATGTTAACCTCGAACGCTGAAGTCATGCACAAATAACTTTTTTTTGTTTTCATATTAGTGTTGAGATCAATTTTTGAAGAAAGCTACCGTTTATTTGGCATTGCTCTTGGGACAAAAGGATTCTCCCTTTCAAATTGTAAAACTATTTAAGCCCCTTTATTTTTACCGAACACAGCAAATAGCTTATGTGGAGCTTAAAAACGATAAGCTTCCAGATAATCTCTACCTAATAAATTGTGAAAATGAAAGGTAATATATAAAGAGAAAAAGGAGAATTATAATGAACATAAATACAAACCTCATTCTCTATTCCTTGATCATGTTTGTATCCAGCGTTCTCCAATATTTCATGAAATGCTGTGAGATCTACTCTCAAGCAGGCTTCACCCATTGGTGTCAACAAAAGTGCTTCTGATGGGGTAGCAGCTCCTTCAGGAACACCCAATAAGATGTATGATGGTACCTAATGGCCCATTAATTAAGTTTAAAAAGACCACCACATACTTTCACAAAAAACCATCACATACACGTAGTTCATAGTAGTAAGCTACTTTTAATTACTCTTTGACCATGTTAACAAAATTATGGTTGAAATTATCAAGTAAAAAGGACATCCCTTGAATGATACTTTGTGTTTGTGTCCGTATAATTAAGATGCAGTTTCAATGAGAATGATGTTTCCCTTGAAAAATGAGAATGTAACAGACAATAAGAATGCACATTTTATATTTGAATAATGCATTACCTATAGTGGTAACAATGTTCGGTTTATTTTGAAATCTCTCATTGTGCTTTCAATAAAATTTGATGCATTATCTGAACATTTGAGCACTTATATCTAAAACTAGTGCACAAGGTTCATTCTCATTTCTCTTATAAGATGACACTTTATGGATCATATATTGGAGGCTTGAAGCATAGCAATTAGGAATCTGTCAGACCGTTTGTATTTAAAATTGTAACAGTAATTGTAATCAAAATAATTTTTCCATCATATGCAATGGAGCCAAAGATTCATTATTTTTTGGCTTGCGAATATGATGGAATAAAGCAAAATGGCTCACTAAACTGTCTGCGCTTCTTTGTTATGAAGCAGCAGTCAATCCATGCAATTTTGGAAGCGATTTTCACTATGGGTCGTCCGGAAACAGTCTCTCTGTACTTTTGTACAGGGGTAAGACTGCGTACATCCGACCTCCCCTTACCCCACCATAGGTGGGAGCCTTTGCGGCACTTGGGTAAATGAAAATGAAAATGAAATTGTAATCAAAATAATATCAAAAGATCAGCTATAATCCCCAAAGTTTGATTATACCGTTGATTCCTTTTGGAGGGGCATAAGAGATTCAATAAGAGACTTTGTATTTGGCCTTTCTCGCGCTTCATAATTCAAACAACATGTGGCCAAATTAACTAGCCGAGTTCCATCATCATTAGAAAAATGACCTTCCAGGCAGGAATCCATCAACATCCGGAAATTCTTTTCACGGATTAAATCTAGTGCCTGCAAGAGTGTAAAGAGAGGGAATGCATCTAACATTTAGGTGTAAGAAACACTGAAGCAATTTATGAATTTTATTTACTTAAATTAAGTTACAATTATTTGAAGTATTTTAATGCATTATGTAATGAAATTCGATATACATACATTAACACTTGAGAGTTCTATCACCCTAAAAACTCAACTAGACCGTGCAGACCAGTAGGTTCCCATAATTCGTTAAGACATCGATTCCATCCTAAAGGCTCGACCGCAGAATGACTAAGAAAAATCTTGTATATTAATTTGTTATTTCATATAATTCCTTCAAAAATAAAGTTGGGAACAAACACATCCGCACAAAACTAAAAATGTAGTAATAAGAAAATAAGTCCAATAGAAAGAACTTACATGACTCGGAGGAATATGTTTGCCACTGAGAAGGTCAAGCAACATAGTTCCAAAGCTGTAAACCACACTTTCAGGCATCATTCTTCCTGCGAATCATATGCATAAATGCATAAGTGAATTTTAAGGATGAAACTTGTTATCACCTAGCATGGTATAGATAGGGGTCATGTTAGACCCTATTTCACTCCAAATATCAATTTTTAAAAACATCATCATTACCCAAGTGCCGCAAAGGCTCCCACCTAAGGTGGGGTAAGGGAGGGTCGGATGTACGCAGCCTTACCCCTGTACTAAAGCACAGAGAGACTGTTTCATCATGGGTCATCCGACCCATGATGAAAATTACGTCGATCGTTGCATGGACTGACTGCTACTTTATAACAAAGAATCGCAGACAGTTTAGTGAACCACTTTGCTTTATTCCATCATGTCTATAAAATTTCATGTGAAAAATTATCTAAGAAAGTTTTTATACCCGTCTAACCCAATACGTTCCCCATTACCCCCTACCTATGCTACTATGAGCCAGCAACACAAATTGTGAACTAAATAAGTGTAAAAATGGCCACCTTCATGAGGCTACTACTAGTTAATACACTCCCGTTACACGGTACTTTATCAAATTTCTTTATTTAACCATCCCAAAAGAATTTATCCTTTCTATTTAAAGTAATAAATATATGGCTAAATTATTTCTCTTTTATCTGCACAAATATCTCCCACACAATTTTTGCTTTATTACTCTAGATGCATATCAATTTTGTCCAAGTTTTTAGGGACTGAAGGAGTAGATAATACTAAAGGCTTCATTGACAAGCTGGTCATTAATAAGGTTAAGGGGGGCATGGATATTTACCTGTCCTCATGTACTCTGGAGGGGTGAATGCAAGGTTTGTACTATAACTTTTTCCATCTCTGCTATTCTTCATTAGGCCAAAGCAGGAGAGCCTGGGATTGCCATCCTGTAGAACAGTAGAAGATTAAATGGAATGACAAATATAATTCACTAGCTAATGAGTTTCCAATTGTTGGAGAAATTATGTAGAACCAATTTCACCTGATCAAACAGCACTCTGTAAGCGTTCAGATCATGATATAATGCTCTACCCTTGCTTCTGCAATACTCCAAAGCTTGCGCCAAGTATAAGGCTACCCTCAATCTCATTGCCCATTTCATTGGCTCACTCTCCCCTAGTGAACATCACTGGAATATGAGTCTATGCTTAGCAATTAGATGAAGAATGTTAGATATTTTTAGTTGGACTGAAATTTCCTAATTTAATTTGTACAAGTCTGGTCCGGTTTTTAAACGTCTCGTTTGTGAATATACATATTTTAACGTTGCTAAATCCAACCAGATCTGGACCGGCCTGTTTAGTCTGGTTTGATCCATTTAAGTCATATATGGATATATGATCTAGTCTAGAACAAACCAATCCAATTAAAAACTCTGTACTAGACCCACCTATGTATAATTTTAATATTTCAATATCTTTAGTTTACTAAATTTTTTCTTATTTTGATAAATTTTTATTTCATGAGAGTTCATAAGTTTACACAAAATAGATAATACTAAGTTTTTATATAAAATGTTTTCAATTATTCAAATTCTGAGTTTGTTTGGTAGCACAGAAATTAGTTGAAGCGGGTGAATTTGTTTAGATTGGGGATATATGGATGAATATGCTGAATTATGAAAAATTATATTGAAAAAATATTTTATAAGTTATATGAAATTAGCTAAAATAACCCTTTTCAACAAATTTAGACAATTTGAGTTGAAAAAACAAGTTCAATCTTATTTATTTTGAATTATGTGGATGATTGCCAACAGTTTTTATGTTTGATTTGATAGATTTATGCTATAGAATACTCGATAACCCACGTTATGCTTCAGTGTCTCCATAATTTTGTCATCTTTCTTTTTTTTATTATTCCAAAAATTTAGTTAGTTTTCTTTTGATTATTTAGTTCATAATTTTTGTTATTTTTTTCTATTTTTTTTTATTTCCAAATCTCAATCATAAAATTTTTCATATATTATCCTGTGATGGTCAAATTTGACAAAAGGAGGGGACCAATCGACTGCCTTTGAACTGTTCAATTGTAAGATTTGGTGTGAAGCATTGAACGACTGTGAAAAGTAGTAATTGCAAGAATCATATCATAGAAATAGACAACTGACAGTGAAATAAATGCTTTGCAAGGGTCTGATTAGGCATGAAATCAGCTACTAGCAGTCTCTCTTCCCCTTCACAGCAATATCCGATCAGATTTGCCAGCCTCTCACTTCTGAGACTCCCCACTGCCTTCGTTTCATCCTAAATACCAGTCACTAAAACCTTACTAATGCACTACCACAAATCTCATCATAGCAAATACCAGAGTATATGTATTTAGAGAGTCCAATTTAAAAGTTCTTCCCAAAAACAAGAATGATTCAAAACGGTTCATATTGATGTCCATGAAGTTGCACATTTCTGATTAAGATAGTGCACATTTTGCAACAATATATGACATTCACTTACTTACAAAATGTCTTCGCATATTTTCATTGATGGTAGTTCATATTTCAGTTTCAAGAAATGCACAATTCTCAAACCTAATGATGTAAATTTATTCTCATTTCTATTCTCAAACCTAATGCTATAAATTCATTCTCATTTCTATTCTTAGATCATAATCTTATTTGACACAAATTCTATCTACATATATAAACTTTGAATGAAAAACACCATAATCATTCAATTATATTGTCATTAAGAAGTTTTTTAGTTATATGGTAAGCTACAATTTGAACTAATATAGTGTACCATTATGTCGTGCACCCTGTTTGTATGGTCTCGAATTCTTTAAATCAATGCAACATATTACTAGTACATACGATATTTTTATTTAGACTATAATTTGTCCCAGACCAGACTTGAATAGTTATAAAAATACAAAGAAATCAAATCAGATCAGACCATCAAATTAGAGTCCAAGTCAAAAACATCCTTAGACTAGTGTTATTATTATTTAAGTCATATACTTATAACACATTGAGCTGTCATTCTATTTCATGCGGAGTAGAAGTTTTAATATAGCACTAACCAATTAAACTCAAGCAAGCAATTGATCAATTACTCTAAAATTAAAGAACACTAGATTTAATTATTTATGGGGAAAATGACTAAATAATATGAACTGAAACCCTAAAATCAATAATAATACGAACTTAAATTAGGTTTGAAAATTGTATCAACTAAATATATAAACAACAAAATATGGAACCACTTGATCTCATCAAAAACTCGTGGCCTGCCATTAAATAAAGTTTATTCTAAAATTTAAATTATGTGTGGTTTATTTGTTAATTTGTTAGACGTTTTGATGAGTTAAATGATTCACCCGTTTTGTAAACTTTATTTTTAGTTTCAGTCAAATTTTTGTCAATTTTTTTTATCAAACTTGTATGTTTTAATTTCTCATCTTGCGTTGTCTAATAATGAAAGTAAGGTTGAAGTTGCTTTTGTTATTACACAATTAAAATGAGAAATTAAAACATATATACTACTACGTACATACATACTAACATGTACTCCCCTCTATCGCATTTTACATGTCTCACTTCTTTTTTTGGATTGTACAAAAATAAGTGTCACATTTATGAAAAGAAACACGAAGCAGGTTGTATGTAGTTTACAGTAAAATCAACCACTTTATTAATAATTGTGTCAAATCAAAGTATGACACATAAAATGAGGAGATAATAGATTTTAGTTTAGAACAATTCAATATTTTAATATACTACCTCCGTCCTCAAAACAAGTTACCCGTTGTTTTTTACACATATTAAGGAAGTAAATTTACCGGGGGATAAATTTTACTGTTTTGACACTGTTTGACACTGTTTTGTATTGTTTTGATGTAGATAATTTGCCAAATGAGGAAAGAGGAATTTAATTCAGGGGCTGACCAAAAAGGAAATGGAGAACTTGTTTCAGGAGCGGAGGGAGTATATTTTAAGAATAAAATAAAGAAAAAACGATGTAAAAATAGTTAAAATTGTTTTGGGTTGTTCCACAATTCAACGTGTAAAATTAAAAGTTTATTTTTGAAGTTTTACGTGATTTACATGATTTAGAACTTTGAGCCAGAATTTCACGAATTTTAAAACTGTCAAATAGGTCCTCGAACTTTCATAAAAAGGTCAATTAAGTCCTTCTATAGGAGGTTCTGTTCGGCCGTCGCGATTTGGGGCAGTTCCTGGTGGAATTTTTTGATGAATTTTTTTTAGCATCTTATTCACCAAGTCTAGTTTACTGATACCAAATTTCAGCTAAAAATTCAATCGGGAACACATTCAAATTAATTCTTGAAGATAATTGCGCATTTTTGCGTTGTCGAATTAATTTGAATGCGCTCTCGATTAAATGTTTAGCTGAAATTTGGTATGAGTAAACTAGACTTGATAAATAAGATGAACAAAAAAATTCATCAAAAAATTCCACCGGGAACCGCCCCAAATCGCGACGACCAGACAGAGTCTCCTATAGAAGAACTTAATTGGCTTTTTTATGAAAGTTCGACGACCTATTTGATAGTTTTCCCTTTTTTCTTTATTAAAAAATTCACATGATTTAGAAGTTTGAGCCAGAATTTCACCCATTTCAAAAAAAAATTAGAGGATCGAATGAATTCTAATTTTACCAAAGTGATTCACAGTTTGAGAGCCACACTAGCCAGTAGCGATGACTTTTTTTTATACGATCGATATTGAAATATTTGATGTAGTAAGAAATGGCACTCCTTACCTTGAATTGCCGGGAATCAGGCCAAGCAGATTTATTGAAGCGCTTGACCGCAATCCGTTGACCATTCTTCAGCTTCCCTTTGAACACCACATTGGGAGCTTTCTCTCCGTGCTCCGACACTATATTCTCCGACGAGAACCCATTCGTCGCCTCCCTCAGCTCCTCCAGGCTGAACCCAGTAAAGCTGGGCCCACCCATGATCCCCTCCTCTGCATTCTCTGCACCAAACCGCCAAGTCAACGCCCAGTCAACGCCCATCTGATCTTATTTCTCAATATATACATTCATAAAATCAAAACAAAACCTCAGTAAATAATGGTTCTATCAGTGTACAATACCCAGGTCTGGTGAATCCAGGAGATGAGAAGAAGGCTTGAGGCTGGAATTCCACCAGCTGCTAAAAGGGACCTTTGAGCAGCGGACGCCCATTTTTTTCTATGGACTTTGATTTCAGGAACAGATGATCTGGAAAAAGTGGGTTTTGGGCGATGTTTCTAAACCTGCAATACCATGTGGATCAATTTCCAGTGGGATTTTGGTTTTAATTTGTCAGAAATCTATATGAAGATGAAATAGACTTTTCACTTTTGAATGTTGATCCAAAGCATTCACGCTTTTATGTGCAGTGCCTGGCCTGGCTTGGGTAGACAAATAAAGTTACCCTGTTTTTCCTTGTTTTCGTTTCTTCATAAATAAATAAAGTCATCATTGGAAACGTAACCGGCCTGGTTTTATTTGTGACCGTCATGCATGTTCATTGTTGCAATCACGGGACACGGTATAAATCCGGTACTAAATCAGTACAAAGAATGTTTTTAAGTACTCCCTCCGTCCCTAATAACTTTGCCAAGTTTGACCGGCACGAGAATTAATAAAGTAAACACTGTGTGATTGAGGTTTGTGCAGAGGAGAGAGAATTAACTGGAACCACAAATTCTTTACTTAAATGGGAAAGTGGCAAAGTTATTGGGACGTCCAAAAATGGAAAGTTGGCAAAGTTATAAGGGACGGAGGGAGTACAACTTTGTGGCCCTATTCATACATGTTGCACCTAGATATATACTACCTTCCGTCTCTTTTTAATCGCAACATGTTCAATTTTATACTATTCACATGTTCTACTTTGATTACATTTTATATTATTATTTTATGAAAATTATTTTTTTAAAAAAGTATTGTTCAATTCATCTCATTACAAATTTTCAAAATCTAACTTTTAAATATTTTTTACTAATAGAGATTAAGATATAATTACGGTTAAAGACGTGCGTTGGCAAGTGTGAAATGTTGACCGTTTCAACTAAAAAAGAACGGGGGAAGTATATCATGGCCGGGGATGGTTCAAATACAAAGAGCTCTTCTCATGCAAAGTGAGAATGAATCTTGTGCATTCATTTCCACATCTAATGCCTCAAAATGAGCCAAAAAAGCACAAAATTCGGTCAAAAACGCGGTGACGTTTTCGTAAATATGTTGTACTTTTTCGCCACTGTGGAACAGTGCAACAAAAACACGAAAAAGTGCAAGTGAAACATGAAAAAGTGCATATCTTCGCACTTTGCACGGGAAGAGGTCTTTTTATTTGAACTCTTCCCTATCATGGCTCGTCTCAAGTGCGCAGAACAAAAAACCATGTGCATTAATCAAATGATTGCACCTAAAGTTTAGTAAATTGCACGATGTTAAAAAAAGTGTTTAATAGCTTGGACTAAATAATCAAATCAAGTAATGTAAATTCAGGGCCGTCTAATAAATTTGGAGGCTCCAGTTCAAAATGTAAAACTGGGGCCCCACATTAATATGAAAAAATTTAAAAAAACTCAATCCAAATACTTATAGTCAAATCAATTGAATACTGATTAAAAGAGAACTAAATAGGTAAAAAGATCAACTAAAAAAATGATGAATTTATATTTTTCTTCCTTACTAGCTAGTTGTATTTTACTACTTCGTATATAATACTAATATCTTTTTTTTTTAATCCGGGCCCCCATAAATCTGGGGGCCTATTCTGGATAACCTAATGAACCCCTGAAAAGGCCCTGTGTAAATTCTTTATATTCCTACACATGGGTGGATCTAGGGACTGCCCCAAATTTTAAAAAATCTTTAATTTTTAAAGTGAAAAATTCCATGTATTTTTTTAAAAACTATTTTTTGTAAAATAAAGCTCACAACCCGCTCAACTTAAAAGTGAAGTGTTTTGTCTTCACTCTTAGGGGGCGTTTGGTATGATGTAAAATAATTATTTTGCATGCGAAGTGTAAGAACGTAAAATGTTTACACTTCTTGGTTTGATTTTTAATGTAAACTGTAGGACATATTTTAAAAACATTTTACACTGTACCATGTAAAGTTTATTGCGTGGGGGGGGGGGTAAAATACTTTGCATACCTTTTATGAAGCACTGCAACAACTTTGTGTGCAATTTAAAAAAAATTACACATCTAGCCAAACAATGTAATCTATTTTACATGCAAAATGATTGCTTTCGTATACTTTGCATGCAATCACTTCGCGTGTAGAGATTTAACGTGTAAACTATCAAACGAGTCCTTATAACTACAATATAACCGCAGTGCAGACTCATGCAAAGTTTTGGGGAGATATATTAACCTGCATTTAAAATAATGATATATTATTTGATTTCATGCAAAATAATTACTACGTACAATGCTTTATAAAAAAGAATGTGTATTTTTACCACCCATAGAGTATTTTACATGATACAATTAAAATGTTTAAAAATAATGTCCTGCTATATACATAAAAGATCAAGTCAAATGATATAAACTCACATTCGTACATTTCGCATGCAAAATAACTATTTTGGGCTTCACCAACGCCCTTATGGTCCATTTGAACGCGTAATTGGGTATAAGGTTGTGTCACTTAGAGACTTGAGACTTGAGAGTGTATTAATGCTACAAAAACATATCCGGGGTAAATTATATTTTGAGCTTTATTTTTCAAAATCTTTTGATGTCTTATTTCAGTTAGTATATCTTGTTGGCTGCTGGCTGGTTTCAGCTTTCTGGTGCTTTTCCCTTGTTCCAACATCTAAATAATGTGGAAAAAGAATCAATAGGGACCCAAATGGATATCGTATCGTTTGAAACCACTTTAATTGCATATACTCGATTATACTCGCGTATCAGATTGGATCCACAAAAAACGAGAGAGAAATATAATTTTTTAGTTTTAATAATTCTAATCAACTAGGCTATTCATATATAGCAACCATTCAACCAAGCTAATAAAAAATGTGAGAATGGACATGTAAGACTAAAACATGGTGGAAATGTAAAAAATACTTCGTATGACAATGGGGTTTAAAGGTATCTCACGAAAGAGAGGACCCCAACCTATCTAGTACCTACCATTAGATCAAATTTGAAGTAGCTAATTTGACTCATTAAAATATTAAATAATCTCATTGACATAACATTAAAATATAATACACTCATATCTTTTGAAAAAATCTAAGTATTAAATAGAAAATATGAAATAAATAGATAAGTAAATAAATAAATTAAAGGCATTAATTACAATGTATAATTTATTTTTAGAATATACTGCAGTCTAAAAAAAAATATTTGCAGGATAAAAACATGTAATAGTGACTTTTAAAACCCATAATTGACGTTTATCATACTCATAGTAACTTTTTATACATGTAGTGACTATAATAACATACTTATATATATTAATTTAACTACTTAAGTCACATTGTTAACAATTTTTTTTCCAGCAACACTTAAAGGAAAAGTATCTAAAGACAAGTAGTGTATTTTCAGAAGATGTTAAAAAGAAAGAAGCAACATAATTCACGTAATTATTTACTTAAAAGAAAGTAAGGAGAAAATGGATTAATATTTATAAAATGAAGGGGTAAAGCAAATTTTGTAGCGAAAGTATCTATATTATATAGTAAAACAGAAAAGTGCAGGGGAGCTTTGGGCGGGATTTTGGGCGGGAATAGCTTTGGACATCGGGTGTTATATGTACTTTAATTAATTGTCTTCTAATTCTTTCTCAATAACGGTTAACGGCAATAACTATTGTGTTTAGAGACTGTTTAGTTTCTCAAAAATGTGTTTCTCGAGAGAGTCTTTAGAAACTATTTGACAAGTCTTTTGGTTTTCCCATCTGTTGTGTTACTTGTGTATTATTAATGAGCAATTACATTTCTCAATAAACTATTTCAAATATGTGCATCACACGTTCAACGCTAAGCAAGAGAGAAGTAATTAAACTTCTACTATAAATAGGTGTCAAACGAGACACTCCAAACCATCATATGTAGCAAGCACTCTCTACCAAACATATTTGACGGGGACTCTTCACTTTAATGTTGTGGTAAATCATTTGTTTTTTTTGCCTTGCTTCAGTAATAATAAATTCTTTGAATGACTTTTTCAAAACAAAATTGTTTTGAGTGTAAGACTGTTATAAGAAATTACAATTACTTGATCAAGCATGTGCTGTTCTTTCAAAAAACATGTGTTGTTAGTACTCTTCTTAAGGTGATAAAACATTATCAAATCTATTAGAAAATTGTCATTTGAAGCCATGAGGTATCGATGCTTACCTTAAACAAATTTACAAGGTGAATATAGGCCTGAATATCATGTAAATCTTCAATTTTCAAATCTATGTCTTTATACAATTTCAAGGATGTAATTTGCGAAGTTAATATAGGCCTTAATTTACTCCGTATTATTTAGTTAAGAGTGTGGTCATTTAAGCAAAAAAATTGTTAAAGATTGGGATGCCAATAATAAAATTAGTAATATTTTGCATCTCAATGAAAAAATTATAGGCTGAACGTTACTAGGTAATTGTTACCATATCTAGATAGAAATAGGTTTTAATACTATAGAAGTAAACCATCAAAAAGTGTTGTTCTATTTATGGGTCGATATGGATTTTCCATAATAAGTACTTAACAAAAGAAATTGATATTATCATAAAAATATACGAAGTAATAAAATCTAAAAAATGGTTTGGCTTTGAATTAATGTTTTGAAATCCAAATGTGATGCGATGTCGATGTGAGTACAAAAAATAATTGTAAAAAAATATTCGAAGTTAAAGTTTTACGAAAATAAATACATTAACTTTTATTTTGTCAAATTCGAATCTCATTTAAGGATTTGGCATCTGAATTTTTTAATATGGATCTGGTAATGCATGCCAATGAATCAAAAGTAAAATTTGTAGATCTATTTAGAAGAAAAAGAAAAACAATATGAAATTTGAAAATTACCTTTCTCACTTTGCTTAGCTCTCTACGGAGCTAAGCAAAGAATGGAAGTTCAGAATGGTTTGTTTAAGTAAAAATTAAAATCAAATTGTCAAGCATTTGTCCGGTTTAGATGAGATCTCAGGGATGTTCACGCGTATTTTTTTCATTTTTGGATCGGAGTTACATGTGTAACACTAATTAGCTTATTTAGCTAATTTTGTTAAACCAGAATCCGATAAGTTGACCATCAACAAGCGATTTGAAGGCTATAGCCTATCAACGATTTTGATTGATTGATTTATTTCGTGCTTAATTTTTAATGTTTTTTTTTGAAAGTTTATTAATCTAAAAATAATTATATATTTATGACTAAAATAAAAATTATTTATGAAAATGTGATTAGTGACTAGAATAATAATTAAAACAGTGAGACCTACAAGAGGAGATGACACAATTATTAAGGAGAATGAGTTTATGTGGTTGATATTAAATT